GCCGCGTGCCCTTGCGATCCGCCGAAGTCGCGGGCGACGTCGAACTTCTCGCAGCACTTGCCGACGACCTCCCTCGTGACGGCGCCATCCTAATCAGTAACCAAACAGGTCATCGGGCCGAAGTACTTGATCCAGCTCCTGACGACCACGGTCAATCACTCGTCGGCAGTCTGGCGCGGAAGCTCCTCCAACAGGCACCAAGGGATGCACTCGTCGACCAGCGCGATGAAGGTCTTGTCGGATATGAAGAAGGCCCGTCTGGTCCCTGCAATTGAAATCCTCTGGCATCACGGCCTTCGCCGGCGGTCGCGCCAACTTGCGCCTCCACGTGCTACGCTCCACGCAGCACTCCATGACACCGTCGATCAGGTCGAGCACCTCCCTGCCATCACCAGCCCGGTAGAAAATCTTCTTGAGCCCCATGGCAGCCGCATGCCAGAACTTGACTTGCATGCCCATGACGACGGCCTTCTTCTCCTTGGCCGAGGCCTTCGGGTTTCGAAGCACCTTCTTGGCTGCCTTGAAGTCAAAATCGGCTCGATGTACGTTGACGAAGCTAGGGCCTCAGGAGGAGACTCGACAGCTGCTGCTGCTGGAGCTGCCGCCACTGCCTGAGCTGGTCCAGGAGGATATGCTGCTGCCGCTAGCGCTGCAGCTGGTGCTGCAGCTGGTGCTGCAGGTGGTGCTGCAGGCGCGACAGGCGCCGCTGCTGGCGCAACTGCTGGCTCTGCTGCTGCGGCTGCTGAAGCAACTCCTGGTAGAGGAGGATGCATCAGCTGGAACGCCACCAGGTGGCATGCCTTGGCGCCCCAGCGCAAACCTACATCCTGCCTCGCGTGTGCGCGGGGCCGTGGGAAGGTCGCTGCCGTCGGGCAGCTTCTTGCGAAGCCCGTGGCGACGCCGCTCGCAGTTTCAGAGGTCATTGTAGAACGTCTCGTCGCCATCCTTGACCACTCCACACTGCAGGCAATCGTGAATATCGTCGTGGATGGTGGCCGTCAAATTTTGGCTATGGGTAGACAGCCGCCGAATCTGTCTTGTTGATGCTGGGCCTGGAAACGAACCCTGCAGTGTTGAGTGATCGCTGCACTTCGAGTCGCCCTGACACTTCAGCAGGGCGCGCCCCTGGCTTGCGACGATCATGAGCAGGAAGGTTGGCTTCTTTACTGAGACCCACGTTGAAGGATCCACTGCTCCAAACTGGCACTGATCCAGGTGTCCGAACTTGCCGCGCTGCGCGATGGACTTGAGAGGCGAGCTCTTGAGGATAAGTGAGCTCCTCGGATTCTCGAGGACGCCTGCTCGTCCTTCCTCGTGCATCTTCCGACACCGCTGAGAGACCCACTGCAGGTTTGGACACTCAACTCGTCGAGGTGCTGGGAGTTTCGAAGCCTCTTCCATGATCGTGGAAGCTGGCCATGGCGAGCATCTTGGCGACCAGAGCCCCATCAGATTTGATGAGGTTCTGTCGGTCTTGTCCAGGAGATCTCGGTGAGCCAGCCTTGCGGCGGAGACCCCAGCCACGCCTAAAACCCAAAAGAAAACTGATCGCCAAGCCCGACATGCACGCGCGCGGCGAGAGCCGTCCTGAGCCACCCATGCTCTCGAGAAGCTCCAAGTTATGATGTTCCTGAGATATCCACTGACACCACTCCTCCGCTTGGTCAGGAGTGATGGCGATCATGCTACTGAAGTAGTAGAACTCCTCAGGCATGCAGACGTGGTACTTCTGTAACCGCTGCTTCTCCTTCTCGTCCGCGCCCTGTGGCCATGCGCCCTGAGTGTAGACTTGACCCGGCACGCCCATCCAGATCGATGCGACCTCTTGTTGTTGACGTAGGCGATGATAACCTCGATGGCCTGGCGAAAACAGAGCTGCTGCTGCCGGCGAAACAAATGCATTGTGAACTTCGTGATCGCGATGCACTTCGCTGATTGATGCAGGAGCTTCTGGCGGAGGATCTTGAACGAGTCCGGCACCTGTCATTTCAGCCCCTGCGGGAGGCGGACTTTCGATCTCCGACGGGCGCGGTAGATCGCCCACTCGAAGTTGGCCGGGACTCCTCGTTAATATTTCTCAAACGAGTGGGCCTCCACTACCATCCAGAGCTCTCGTTGTTCATCAGCAACTTCCGCAGCTGACTGTTGAAATCTGTCCGTCGGCAGCAGGTGGCGGTTGGAGTCGGCGTAGAGGATCTGCGCTAGAACCACTCGAGGAGGATCTCGTTTCCTGTTATCAGGCGCCGCTATGATCATGACGCCGTCTCGATTGTCGGAGACTCCACGAGGTACCATTGCGCTGCAATCCACCGAGCTCGGCGGCGGCATCAGTCCAGGACATGATGAACCACGGCTGCCGGTCAGGTCGGTTGAGAAGGTTGCCCCCGGCAGCCCTGGCACTCCAAGAGGCACGGCGCGCGCTCGAAGTCCTGGCTCAGGTCGACCTCCAACGCCTGTGAACACGGGCGCAGAGGGGCCGGAAGGATACCTCATTCATGATGCTCATCGGCTCGACGACCTTATCCAGGAATATCCGCAGAGTGTCTGCGCCCATCAAGGCTGAGGACGCTCTTGCGTCCACTGGGAGCCCCAGCCGTTCTACACCTTGAACAACATTCACGGTGCCGAATGTCTCGCCACTCGCGGGGAAGTTGTACGCCATGTTGATCGTCGCCATCGTCGTGGGTGTGGATTTCCTGAGCAGCGGCCCAGCTGGTGGCCGTGCTGCCCCTGATGCAGAAGATGATCCAAGCGTGGGTGCTGTTGGCGCTGCCTGGTCTGTCGGGAAATTGAAGATCGTCGTCTGCTCAGTAGGAGTGGCAACTGCAGCGTCCATATAGAACCTCGTGCCAAGCTGGACTGTTTGCTTGACGGGAAGAATGCTATGGTCTGCGAGGGCGAGCTCAAGGTGAACAACTCAGGCCTTGGGGCCACTGCGTCTCCATCACATGTCGACGTCATGTCATGAGTGTACCAGCGACTGTCTCCATCAAACTCTTCATACTGATACGAGTCGTCCACGTAGTATATACTGTGCTTGCCGTTCCTCTTGCCCTGGCTGTTGCTGATGCTGCCTCGCCATGCCTTGCCAAACCCTTTTGCGCTGGGGCCCACTGGGGCGTCCGTCCTTGCCGTTCTTGTTTGACTTGGGTTTGATGAAATACTTGCCCTTGCTGCTGTTCCGGCACTTTCATTTCTCGCCGTAGTAGTCGCCCGTCTTAGACGGCGAACCCGACGAGGTCTTCGGTCAAGGGCAGTCCGCGCTCGAGCGAAGAGGTGAGCCGCCCGCACGTCGTGCAACCATCTTGAGAGGTCGCCTTGCCTCCGCTCTTGCGGCCTCCTCGTCCTTTCTTGCCACCGCGGCCTCGACCTTTGCCGCGTCCTTGACCACCTCCACCGTAATAGTCCTCTTCCGCGTGCTCCTCGTAGTCCTCGTCGTCGGTGCCGTTCTCTTCGTCGAAGCTGGCTTCCTCCCCAGTCGGTGCTGTCGTCGTGCCACGCTTCTTCTTGCCATTCGTCGTCATGGCCGAACCGCTTCCACAATCCATCTGACACACAAGTCTCAGGATAGTCGTAGTCTGACTCTCAGTAGGCTCCTTCATCTGCCCAATACTGTGAGACCATGGCTGGAATCGAGGATGCTGCGCCTGGGTACTCGTGACTTGCCATTCTCTGCATCAAGGCGATGGGCTCGGGGAAACGATTCAAATCTCCTTGAATATGCATGCGTAGGTCGGTCCGCATCTGCCCTGATAGGCCTGACATCTGTAGTAACAGGAAGCTCTTGCCGACGCTGTTCAACTGCAGGCCTCCTTTGTCGGAGGCCCCCTCGAAGCATGAGCGGAGCATCGTGTGGAAATCATTCATCGGCAGGTGGCCTCCTGTGAGTGAGAAGAAACTCGACAAGGCCAGGATTGACATGTCTTGGTCTTGAACCTCGAACTCCTGAACGAGAAGACCCATGAGCAATGAGGCTCGTGCTGGCTCACCGGGATGTAAAACACCTGCAGCGCCATGCCACTCAAGATGTGAAGGTTGAGCTAGCAGTTCGTCTCCTTCCATCTCACGTCGTACTCCTGCGGTAAGGTCCAGTCTGTCGCGTTTCATCTTCATCGCTATCTGGAACGCCGGGCCTCTGAGACGTTCTGCCATCGCTGGATCTGCTGCGTGCTCTGCCAGCTCTGCCCCCGCCTGAGCAACTGGATATACCGGCGCAGCGGGTACATGCCGTTGCCGGGCCGCCATCCTGGCGGCATGTTCTTGTTGAGCGTGTCGAGAAGTATGCCACCGCCACTGCCTGAGGTGTCTCCGTAGTCCATGATTGCGCGCGTCCGCGCAGCAAACCGGGTATCGATGCTGAAGGTGATAAGGGTCAGTGAAACTGCAGCTGCAAACACGCGCGCGATGAGCCAAAGGATATTGCTCGCGTGCTTCTGCTGCTGCTGGTATATGTGAGGTTATCGCCGCGCTCGACGCTGAGCCGGAACCTGAACGGCGAAGCTGAGGGCAGAGAGGCGGCGAGTCTCAAAAGACCTGCCACCACATCGGCGCTACCAAAGTTAGTCTTCCAGCATAAGCTTTCGAAACAGATGGCTTGAGCCAGCATTGTTAGTTACGGGCAGCCGAATACACAGTCGAGCCCATCCTGAACATATCCCTGATGGTTATGGAGCCTCTTACCCCGAACTCATGCACAATCTAACTCCTCACTCCCTCCCTCCCTCCCCCGCCTTCCTCCCTCCTCCCTCCTCCTGCGGCGTTGTGATGCGCCCTGAGCGCCTTCAGACGATGACGGGGGGGGTAGGACAGGACGTAGGCGGGGAGATTCACCAAACCTTGGCGCCCGTGCTGCATGTACGCACTGTTGCAGCAACTAGTGAGTGCCGCACTAAGCTGACCGTCTCCTCAGCGAGTGAGAGCGCCATGCAAACATCCCCCGCCTTCCTCAAAGTGCCTGCGGGGGACCACCGCGCGAGCCCCGCGCGAGGCGGGCGGGCGTCCTGCTTCGCCCAGCCCTCGGAGCCCAAGCGCTCGAAGAGCAGCACGTGGGGAGCGCCGCGGACGCGGACGGCGACGCGCTGCGCCGTGCGGGGGCAGACAGCCAC